TAATATAACAATATTAAAAAATTATAGATAACAATTTATTTCGTTAATATTTTAAAGAGAACTTTAAAAAATATGTATATATTTGAACAATATAAAATAGGAAAAGTTACTTTTTTTACAAACAAAATAGATCTCGAAAATAGTGTTTCATATTTATTTAATAAATATTTTACTCTAAGAATATTTAATTTGAATGCAACTTAATAAGAAAAAGTAAAAAAAATTAAATGTTTTTTTAAATCATAACAATGAAAAATGAAAATCACTAAATAATAATTTGAAATAGGTTTTTATTTTAATTTTAGTTAAGTCATCAAAATGATATGACATCTACATCACCTCATTAAAGCCACACAAGCAAAAAAATCAAAGGGTTAACCGGTTTAAAGGTAACAGGTTACCCATTGCTATTATGGGTAGATTTTTTATTGTACAATGCCTTAATAAAAAATAATTTGAAAGTACATTGCTGTAATAAAGAAAAACAAAAGTAGAATGCTATAATAATTTTTTTTATGAAAGTAGGTTACTATTTCATGCATTTAACCCTAAACAATACTTGATGCATAAAAACTGGTTTTTAAGATTTTGTCTCGAATGCTTTATAATATAGTATAGATAGTATATATCATTTTTATTATATTATAAATTTGTTAAAAACTCTTAAAAATAATGTATTATGTTTCATTTATTAATGCAAATTTATATTATTTATACTATATATAAAGCATTTGACAAAAACTCTTAAAACTCATTTTTATGCATGAAGTACTGTTTATTGATGCATATTATTTATAATTCAAGATTACGAGTAAATTGTGCATAATTACAACTTGTTAAAGCTTCATGTTTGAATTCGTGTAACCAACTGCCGGATAAATATAATCAAATAGAGGATAAACATCTCATTTTAAAATATATATTTTTTTAAATATAATTAGGATAATTATTGAGTTCTAACAAAATAATTAATTATTAACTTTATAAAAAATTATATTATTAAATCAAATATAAATTACATAACTAAAAATTTGAATTCAAAAATTATACAAAAAATGAGAAATTTTAAATTAGTTAATTTGATACT